GGTGGGACGGCAGGATTGCTTGCCCTGTCTGTGTTGAATCCTGTAGTCATAAAATGGCTGTGGTGCTCAGGCCTGGCCTGCTGACCACAGCCCATGATGCTCATCTTTCTGTTTTGCTGGGGTAAGGAAGCATTCTTTTCGTAGGAGGAACAGCTATTGCCCTGGGGTTCCCCTTTCCTCAAGGTTTCTTTGGAGGCTGAAACCACATTTTGTAGCCTCATTTTCTCCTCTACGATCTGTCCAACAGTGGTCACCAGCACTTGGGCTTTGGCACTCCCACTTTTCATAGAGTGTGTGCTGCTTGCGCCTGACCCTTGAGTTTGGGTAGCAGGTCCTGGGGCCTGCACTGTCTGCAGGGACTCTGCCTCTGCTCGGTCTTTGTTATGCAGCATGCTTTGCCCAAATTTTGTTGCTCTGGTCCCAGTGGAGCTTTTGGAAGGTGCTGGTTTCTCCTTTGCCAGGAGCAGGGACTTGCTCCCCATGGTGTCTCTTGCTTCCCAGACCTGAGAAGAGGTAATCAGCCTTCCAACCCCCTTTCCTCCTGCAAATCTGTCTGTCTTCCCTCCTGGCTTGGGCTTCTCAAAGCTTTCTCTCTTCTTAGGTGGACCAAACTTGCTGCTCTTCATGTTCTCCGGATCCTCCAGTTTTGAGATCCTGGGGTCTTTTTCTTCCTGGCTCATCCTGTCCTTCCTTAGGAGGTCGAATTTCCCTTGGGAAGCTGATTCACTACTAGCAAGCACTCCTTGGGAGTTGGATGGACTCTTGTGAGAGGCCAGGATGTTTTCCCTGTGGGGAATATCTAAGAAAGTGTGTTGAAGGTCCTCTCCAGTGGTAAAGTCTCGAAGGAGAACCCCATTGGCTGGATCCTGAGTCTTGTTTTTGGTGTCTTCCTGTGTAGCCAAGCATGAGTCTCCTGTGTCCTGCACAGCAGAAATTCTGGGCATGTGGAGGATTCTCTTGGATCCCAGAGACTTGAAACTCCTCAGATGCATATTCAGGTTTTGGGAGGTTGACATCACACTGGCTCCCTTGGTCAGTGCCCTATCAAAGGGCTTCTTCTGCTCAGTCTCCATGGTCTGCTTGATGTCTCTTGCCCTTGGGTAGAGAGATCCTACAGTCATCTCCCATGCTGACAGTCGATGGGAAGGGTCTCCAGGTTCTGCAACTCCTCTCTCCTGCTTCTGGTATCGGTCCATTCCAGAGATTGCACTTGGGCCAAGGCTACCTCTCCCTGGCCTCGGGACAGTATCAGCAGGCCGGGCTCTGCCCTCAGTGCCGAGCAAGTGTGGCTGAGAACTGTAGCTGCTCTCATGTCCACATGGCGCAGCTTGCGAGGGCCCACCACTGTCACCAGATACAGTCATTACCGGGTATTTGAAGGAGCGACCAGTGAGAGGACCCCGAGTTTGCAGAACTTCAATAACTGCTTTCACCATCACTCCTGGAAGTTTTTGAGATACTTCTCCCAGGAGACTCCTACTCTGGCAGGTGGAGTCAGCCTTGGAGTTAGCTGGGGCTGAGGAGGAAGAGGCAGGCCATGGAAGCAGGGAGGCCTGAGACTTTTTCAGTTTGAAGGCACGAATGACCTCGATGATCTTCAAGGCTAAGCGCCACCTGTGCCTCACCCAGAGCCTTTTCATGTGTGTCTCCAGCCTCTGCTGAGCCCCAGGATGCAGGAGGGAGAAGTCCTGGGTGCCCCTGGCACACTCCTGACCCTTCAAGGATGGTTTGTTCCCAGTTTCCATGGGGGCATGTGAGATTCCAGGACGGTCACAGGCATGCTGCGCAGTAAGGGTGGAGTGATGCACACCCTCAGGGATTCTGCCCCCGGTCTGCTCCACCTTCCCTCTCACACAGACTTGCATGCTGTCTTGTGGGTTCTTCTCTGGACTGCCTGCTGATTCATTTAATGAATCACTTCTTAAGAGGCCCTCCCTATTTCTTTGTAATGCTCCCTGAGACATGGACTGTAGATCATTTTCTGGGGAGATTTCTAGACCCTTGGCCTGCACTTTCGCATCCTTTCCCAGATCATTGCTTGAGTATCTCCCTACCTGGGATACTTTGGGGGACCCTGACCTGGTCTTTCCTGAGATCTGCCTGCTATCCTCTATCATTGAAATCTGGCAAGGCTCACAATTATGCTTTGCCTGCCTTGTCCCTGGGGCTCTTTCCCTGTCCAGAGATAGGTGGACCTGAGGGAGTGGCCCACGCATGAGTTTTGTTTGAAGGTTTTGCTCCAGTTGTTCCCGGAGCTTGGAGGAGATAACATCCACTGGGACTTTGATGGAGGACGTGTTTTCCTGACGGATCCCATGTTTGTCAGCAGGTTGGCTAAAGT